TGGGCCAAACCTGCCTCAGCCTGGAGCCCAGGCATCTACAGAGTCCCGGGCCTGGAGGGAGACAGCGCAAGGCTGATCCCCTGGGCAAACTTGGGTGGGACCGGGGTGGGGGGGACACAGTTTAACCAATGGCAAAATAATATTTTATGACTGCATTGGCAGAAAGATGCATATAATAACATTACATATTAAAACCTTTTCTTTGACCTGCAATTGTTTCCCGATGTTTAAAGAGATGGAAACACTTTCGTGGACCCCTAAAAGCACTATGGGCCCTGGTACTGAACTGCCTGGGCCTGATGGGGAAGCCAGCCCTGCCACCACCCTGACCCCATGGTGACAACACTGTTAGCTGCAGGCAGCAGCACACTGTCTCCCCAATCCATCCCCCCTTTTTCTTTTCCACGGAAGCATTTCCCAAGTCATAGATGTGCTGCGGGACATCTTCTTTGATTGTCATTTTAAAAAAAAAGCTTCGGGCTTCCCTGGTGGCGCAGTGGTTGAGAGTCCGCCTGCCAATGCAGGGGACACGGGTTCGTGCCCCGGGCCGGGAAGATACCACATGCCGCGAAGCGGCTGGGCCCGCGGGCCATGGCCGCTGAGCCTGCACGTCCGGAGCCTGTGCTCCGCAACGGGAGAGGCCACAACAGTGAGAGGCCCGCGTACTGCAAAAAGAAAAAACCAAAAAAACCAAAAAAAGCTTCCCAGGGAGAGAAGCCTAATCCTATATTATTTGAAAATAGAAAGTGCTGTGCAAATGCTAAGTCCAGTATAATAATAGTGACGCCAAGTAATTCTGTTTTGAACATGTTGAACTTGTTAAATCAGACAGATGCCATCTGCACTGTTTTAAAGCCAGGGCTGGTGATATGTTTTATGCAAAAAAAATGTTTATCAGATGAAAATTGCTGAATCTCCCCAAAAGTAAATTGCTTTGCTCCATAGTTAGACTTATGAGACTTCGTCTCAGGGATGGGGTGACCACTATAGGTAGGGAATAAAAGCATCTCAAGCATTTATCGAGCATTTACTGTATGCTGAGCACTTGACAGTCAGCCGCATGTTTAATCCTTGCAATTAATCACTCTGTGAGGTAGTTGAGATGATTCAGATTTTATATGAGCTAACCCTCATATAAAGGGTTATAAATCAAAGGGGTTCAGAGAGGTTAGATAACTTGCCCAAGGTCACACAGCTCTCCAGTGGAACCAGGATTTGAATCCAAGACCTCAGACTCTGGGGCCCTTTCTTGGTCCAATAAGTCTCCGAATAATGTGGAGAGTCATGGACCTAGAAGTGTGAGGAGTCAAGGGCTCCCCCGCCCCCCCGTGGCTCTTCATCTCCCATGAAAGGAGCAGCAGGATGGAGGCTGGACTTCTGCAAGAGGAGGGTGGGTGGGAGATAAGACGTTCCTGACAGCAGGGTGGCAGGAGAACCTGGGCTCTTTTTCTGTAATGGGTTAAAAGCCGTTTTCCCTCAATTCTGCAGATGGTGATTGTGTTTCGTTTCCTAGGGCTGCCGTAAAAACTGACCACAAACCAGGCGTCTTAAAACAACAGAGACTTATTTTCTCTCCATTCTGGAGGCTGGAAGTCCACAATCTAGGTTTCAGTAGGGCCTCACTCCTTGTGAAGTCTCTGGGGGAGGATCCTTCCTTGCCTCTTCCAGCTTCTGGTGGCTTCACGTGTCCCTGGCTTGTAGACACATCACTCCAGTCTCTGCTTCCGTCGTCACATGGCCTCCTCCTCCCTGGGTGTCTCCACACGGCCTTCTTATAAGGGCACCAGTGACTGAACTTAGGGCCACCCTCCTCCAGTGTGACCTCATCTTAACTAATTACCTCTGCAGTGACCCTATTTCCAAATAAGGTCACATCCTGAGGTTCCAGGTAGATGTGAATTTGAGGGGGACACTATTCAACCCAGCACAGTGTTGGAGCTCTGGGCATGTGGCCCGTGTGGGGCAGTACCAGGCTCCACTTATGAAAGCAAATCCCTGTTCTTGAAGGCGCAGGACTCCTTTGGGGGTTTTAAACCAGCCACTCATAACCACCACCAGGCATGGGGGTGCCCAGAGAGTTGGATGGAGCAGAGCCTGGATGGAGAGGTGCTTTCAGGAAGGCTTGAAGTGAGGTGGGGTCCCTTCCAAAGTTTCCAGGGACCTGGCAGGATGCCCACTGGCCTCACACAGGGGTTACTTGTGCCCTAAGGTCTCTGGTTGGAAGCTGGGGGGCACCCAGTTCTTTTGGGCCTCAGCCGCCCGTGCTCTGGGCCAGCCCTGACCCAGCAGCTGTCAGGTCTGGCCTTCTGCCCTGTGGCCGCCTCCCTCCATCACCAAAACGCTCCTTCCAGGCAGTGCAGTGTCCATCCTGTCCCTGGAGGTCGGTGGGGAAAGCATTCCACGACCCTCATTCAGAATTTATTTCAGAGCCCAATGGACACCAAGGTCATCACAGTCATCACGTTCCTTCTCTGCTGTAGCCCAGGCATTGTCAATGGGTGTGTATCACCCCCTAAAGGGTGAAAGTTGGCTCTTGTAATTTTAGCTACTACAATGGTTTGTGGCCCTCCACAGGCTATAGTGTGTAAACAGATCTGCAGAATATCCGTGGAGTGGACATTTCAAGGGGGGGAGGGTGAGAAGGGGAAACAATGTCTAAAAAGGCTCCTTAAGGGGGTGATAATGAGAAAAGGTTGAGCAACAATGGTCCAGCCCAAATCCCTTCTGCTGCAGCTCCAACCCCACCTCCACAATAATGATCGCTAACACAGACAGGGCTGCTTTCACGCAGGCATTGCCGTTCTGTGTGCCTTACACCTTTCCTCACTGAGTCCCCCCAGTGCTATGAGGGAGGTGGCACTATCTCCTCCATTTTATTTGATTTTTTATTTATTTTAAAACTTTTATTTATTTTTAATTTTGGCCGTGTGCACGGCTTGCAGGATCTTGGTTCCCTGACCAGAGATCGAACCCGGGCCCCCTGCAGTGAAAGTGCGGAGTCCTAACCACTGGACCACCAGGGAAGTTCCTTTCTCCTCCATTTTAAAAGATGAGAGCCGGAGGCACAGAGAGGCTAAGTGACTTGCCCAGGGTCACACAGCTCATAAGAGGCAGAGCTTCAGCTCATCTCCTTGTGTGTCACTGTAAATTGGAGATGAACTGACTGTTCTCTTCCCTACAGCATTCCTTGACAATCTGAAGACCAAGGCGATATATTGCTACTTCCTGCCTGAGGACTTTCTTGAGCAAAAGAAACATCATCTTATATGTCTTTGCTCGTTCTTATTTGTAATTTCATAGAAGGCTGTTGAAGGTTGGATTGTGTCTTCCAAAGGGATATGTTGACCTTCTAAGCCCCGGTACCTATGAATATGATCTTACTTGGAAATGGGGTCTTGGCAGATGTAATCAAATTAAGAGGAGGTCATACTGGATCAGGGTGGGCCCTGATCCAATGACTGGTGTCCCTATAAGAAGGGGAAATTCGGATACACACAGAGGAAGGCCAAGTGAAGACAGGGAAAACAGAGGCAGAGGAGACTGGAGTAATGCGTCTACTAGCCCAGGAACGCGGACGACCGCTGGTCCCAGCCAGAAGCTGGGACAGATGCCCCCTCAGAGCCTCCAGGAGGAACCAACCCTGTCGACACCTTGATTTCAGACTTCTGGCATCCAGAAGTGTGAGAGAAGACGTTTGTGTTGCTTTAAGGCCCCCCAGTACCCGGTCATTTGTTACAGCAGGAAGTGAATAAAAGGCAATGCCATTTTCCATTAGCGTTTGGAGAGGGGGGACTGGACTGTGTGTGCACATGTGTGTATGTGTGTGGAGGGCTCGTCTGTCACCCCCTACCTGTCACCTTTGCCTTGTGTCCCCACCCCCACCTCCATGTCTCCCATACCAGTTGCCTTGCTCTGTGGATGGGGCCACGCCCTTCCTATCCTTACAGAAGGTAGAGGTAGGTGGGGTGGGGGGCGGCCCGAGGGGCCAGGTGGCCAAGGAGGGGCACCACCGTGCCTCCTCTGGTGAGAGGGGGGGTTACAGACCCCAGAGGAGCCCAGGTTGGAAAAATCCTCCTTCGTATAATTCTCATTATGTGTGGCAATAAACACCTTACAATAAAGTCCTTGTAAAGGGATAAGTGGAGCTTAAACGGGGCCTGTGAAGCCAGAGGAGGTGGTGAAAATCAAAGGAATTGGAATTATCGTCTTCAGAAAAAGTAAGCAGCTTCCTGGAGGAGGGCCTCCAGAGCCTTCCTTGCTCTGAGACCCACGTGCCAGCCAAGTGGGATCTGTCTCAATAGAAATTTTTGCAATGAGATAAATACTGCATCTGATGTCTAATAAACTTCTCTGAGAGGGGAGTAGTAATCAACACCAGGAAATAAATTCTCCAAAAATAAAGGCAGCACGAGTACTGATGTTGAGGTGGAGGGCTGTGATGTTTATGGCACTAAACTCATTTAAGATCCTGGGAAGAATTCATTCTTGGGAACCCAACAATAATTTACTAGAGGTTTAATAGTTGGCAAGTCCCCAGGCTGCTCTGGGTGGAATTTACTTTGGCAAGATACAATTCCTCTGGGAGAAAATAGAGAAAACAGACTCAGGGCAGCCGGCTGTGCTCAGGAAAAGGGCCTCCATCACCTGGAGATCCCTAGACAGATCTCGTCCAGGCTCTTGAATGGAATTCCTCTGCCCATGTCAGCCTCAGGCACTGCCCTTCACACGTGTGCAGACACGCCTGGCACCTGCAGATGTGGGCTTTCCCAGATGCATGCCACGTGGGTCCGTTGATGGTTAGCGAGCCCCTCCAGCCCGGGCTGGGGCAGCAGCGGCTCCATTTCCTGGCTTGACTTTACCCATCGCTACCTTTCCGTTTGGTGCAGGGCGGTGTCTGGGTGCCGGGGGCCCTGCAGTCCTGCTGCCTTTGCTGGCAGGCTGAGGCCTGCCCTGCCCGGGAAGGAGACCGCAGCAGGCTCACCCTGGCTTCTCCCACTTAGGCTACCCGCCGGGGCCGGCCTCATGGAGCGGATCCAGGCCATAGCCCAGAACGTCTCAGACATCGCCGCGAAGGTGGACCAGATCCTGCGCCACAGCCTGCTCCTGCACGGCAAGGGTGGGGGCCGGGGGCACCCCTCTACTCCCAGGAGGCCAGAGTACAGGGCGGGACGTCCGGGGTGGGGCCCTGATTTTTCCCCACGGCAGCTGCCCTGGCTCCTGGGGGCCCTGTGTCTGGCTCTCAGCGGGGTGCCTCAGGGTTCATCCCACCGTCCCTGGGCAGCCCCTTCCATTCCTCTTGATGTGGGGGCATCAGGCTGGGAGGCCCTACCTCTGCCTCCGTCAAAAAGTCAGGAGTACATTTGGATGGATGCCTGAGGTCTGCTCGTCCAGAAAGCAGGTTCATAGCCATTCAGACCAGCTCCGCACTGGTTCTGAACTCCCTAAGGAGGGTGGGAGTGTTGGAAGAGGGGGCACCGCAGGCACAGGGACCCCCTGGCGGTGGCCTTTCAGGGGAGAAAACTCAGGCCAAGGGCACAGTGGGCTCCTGCACTGCCCCACCCCAGACCAGCCCACCTGCCTCACGCTTTCTCTACCGCGCTCCTCCTTGGACCCAGGTCCTCAGCAAGGTGACCTTCTCTCCCTGCAGTGTCTGAAGGCCGGCGGGACCAGTGTGAGGCACCCAGCGACCCCAAGTTCCCTGACTGCTCAGGGAAGGTAGAGGTGAGGCCTGGGCCTGAGGCTGGGGATGACCGGGGGCCCCTCCTCCACGGGGGCCATACCCCAGATTAGCTCTGCGATTCTGCTCCTGGCAGGGATATCCACCATCAAGGGCCTCTCTGCCTGACCTCTGGACCCAGAACCTGGCACTAGCTGGCAGAGGCCCGCCTCAGGGAAACCATTTCTCTGCTTGGGCCATCTGCCTGGGGCACCAAGCCAAATGTCCCAGGATGGCTCACGTTGCAGGGTTTTCAGTACTTTCTTACAGCAGACGAACCATTAAGTATACGTATGGCACCACCCCCAGCCTGATTTCCAACAAATTCAGACAAGGTGTGGACCTCATTCTCTCTCCCCCTCCCTCCCGGCCCAGCTGACCAGCTGGAGGGAGAGACCCACCCCCTGTCCCCACCTCCAGGGTCCCACCTCTGGCTGCATGAAGTCTGTCCATCCGGGGAGCCAGTCCACAGGCATAAAAGCCAGCCCCCTCACTGGTGCTGAAATCCCTAAGAGCGTGGGGTGTTGGCACTGCAGACCCCTTCCTTGGGGACCAGGTGGGGGTCACTGTGGTTGAGTCCTGCCCTGGCCACAGCCCTGGCCCCCCTTAGAGGCTGCTCCCTGACCTTGGCTTCAGCTGAACCCTCCTCTTGGTTACGGGCGGAGGACAAAGGAAGAGGGGCCAGCCAGGCCCTGAGCTGCTGCACTTCCTCTGTTGCCCCTGGAAGCTTGGCCGCATGTGTCCTGGACTGGCCTCATTCCCCCAGGGTCCTCTTTCTGGGCCTGGGGGATGGTGGTCCTGTCTGGCCTTCCCTGAGGCTCTCAGCAGCCAGGACACAGGGCTGGGTCTTAGGGCCCCGGTCCAGTCTCTCTTCTCTGCTTCTAGCCTTGCTGCGTCTTTAGGGTGGGCCCCGGAGACCCTGTCCTGGGGGCCCTCGGGGTCCCCAGGGACATGCATGCAGGGGCTCACCGAGGGTGTGCACGGGGCTGGCGCTGGCTCCTTGGCCCAGGCTGGCCCTCTCCACAGTGGATGCGTGCCCGCTGGACCTCTGACCCCTGCTACGCCTTCTTTGGGGTGGACGGCACCGAGTGCTCCTTCCTCGTCTACCTCAGTGAGGTCGAGTGGTTCTGTCCCCCGCTGCCCTGGAGGAACCGGACGGCCACCCAGAGAGCCCGCAAGCCCCTCCCCAAAGTCCAGGTAGGTGTGGGAGGTGAGTGGGCCGGCACGGGGCTGCCAGCCAGCTCTGCCAGGTGGGTGGGCTGCTCCCAGCCCGCCAGCCTGCGGGTGCCCGTCCTGACTCCTGCAGGACGCTGCAAAGCTGAGGCTGCTTAAGGGGCAGGCTGCGGCCCTGGAGGCGCCCCCTTAATGGGCTGGAATAATGGCAATAATAGCTGTCACTCATCGAGGACTTCCTGTGTGCCACTTTACTTGTACTTAAATCTCCCAGCAGTCCTTATGCAAAATCGCATTTAATAGGTGACGGATCTGAGGTCTGGAGAGCTGAGTTAACTTCTCCAAGGCATATAGTTACTCTGGCTCCACTGCAAGGCGGGGCCTGGCTTCCCTGCCCTTGGAGCCCCGGCTCCGACCACTACCTACTGCTTCCTTGTCGCGGCTGGGATCCTGGGAACTGTCATAGCTGACAAGCCCTCCCGAAGGGCTTGGGACAGGTGGCTGATTGGAGCTGGGCTGGGACAGACCAGTGTGGCTGGGGAGTGAGTGTTGAGGAGAGGAGAGCTGGGCTCCCTGACTGTGGGGACTTCGCCGGCGGTCCAGTGGTTAAGACTCCACGCTTCCAATGCAGGGGGTGCGGGTTTGATCCCTGGTCAGGGAACTAAGATCCCACAGGCCGGGCGGTCGCAGCCAAAAAATAAAAACAAAAAACAAGAAAACAGAAAAAGTTGGAGAAGCTAGAACAGGCCCAGCCTCACGGGGAAGGTGCCAGCCCCTGTGCCCAGGGCAGTGAGTAATGGCGGTGTTGTGGCTGCTGGGTGGAGGATTAGAGAACTGAGGTCTGGAGCCTCCTCCAGGCAGTTTTCCGGAGCAATCTATCCCACCTCCTGGAGCTGATGGGCAGCGGGAAGGAGTCTCTAATCTTCATGAAGAAACGTACCAAGCGGCTCACGGCCCAGTGGGCACTGGCTGCCCAGCGCCTGGCGCAGAAGCTGGGGGGCGCCCGGAGGGACCAGAAGCAGGTACCTTATCCTCTATGTGCATTGAAGGAGCTGAGCTCAGAGAGCTTAGGAAGGGAGCTCAGGGCCTCAGGCTGCCAAGTAGACGCGGGGTCTACCCTTACAAAAGTTTTACTGCATTTGTTGGAATTTGAGCCGTGGGCAGGGGGAGGCAGAGTCTCGATAGATGCATGTGGTAGCCCTGGCCCTTTTCATGTTTGGGGCAGAGTGACACCCCCTCTGCCTTAGGAGTCCTGCAGTCTGTAGACATCTTGTTCTTGTCAGGCAGAAGAGTCATGGCATTTGCCTGGAATGTTGGGAATAATGTAGCCTGTTTGGGGGAAGTTCATTGGTTCGTCCATCTGTCTGTCCATCCATCCGTCCATGCAATAAATATTTACCTGACTCTCTCATCACCCTGTTTATTTCTTTCAGAGTCCTTATCATTTCATGAAATTATCTCTTGTCTGTGTTTACTGTTGTCTACCTCTTCCATCTGGAACATAAGCGCCTAGAGGGCAGGATGTGACTGTCTTGTTCACCTGTGTCTCCAGCGAGGTCACTCTGCCTCTTGGCCCCTCCGCTGTGCTCTGGTGCCAGAAAGTGCCCTTCAGCCTGGACACAGTGTCTTCCGCTGGCCGGGTCTCCCTGGGGTGGCAGGGCTGAGGGCTGCTGCTTCTCTGTGCTGATCCTTTGTGCCCCCCCACCCCTCCACAACTAGGTCCTTGTCCACATTGGCTTCCTGACGGAGGAGTCTGGGGACGTGTTCAGCCCGCGGGTGCTGAAGGGCGGGCCTCTGGGGGAGATGGTGCAGTGGGCAGACATCCTGGCTGCTCTCTACGTCCTGGGCCACGGCCTCCGGGTCACGGTGTCCCTGAAGGAGCTGCAGAGGTGAGTGCCGGGGGAGCGGAGGGGAGGAAGGGGAGTCCGTCGTCGCCCGGGAGCTCGTCGGATGGTGACATTCCTAATTCCGTCCTCCGGCTGCTCAGTCTGCCTCCTGCCCTTCTGTCCTCAACGCTGATGCCTAGTCATTTTGGGGGATGCACCAAGGGAGTGTATTTGCGTAGTGCTGTTCAAACAGGGTCCTGTTCTCCATCTCGGGGCTACTGTTTGTGCTCAGGGACTGACCAATACTGGCTTGTGGAGTTGAGCCATGTCACACAGATGGGGTCCCCTCTGCCTGCTGTCCTGGTGGACTTGGTGCAGCCTCAGGGGTCCTCTTCTGGAACGGGGCTCCTTCCTGGGCCTGTTCTGGGGGTTGGAGGCCAGGAAGACCTGGAGGGTGGTGAGGTGGGCCGGCGATGCCTACCCCTTCCAGTGCTTGCCTTTCCAGGGTCCCTCTGATATCGTTGGAGGTGGGAGACTAGTGATTAGAGTGGGTAGGATTTTGTGTGTGTGTGTGTGTGTGTGTGTGTGTGTGTGTGTGTGTGTGTATGATGAGGTTTATTTTAACCACTGTATCTGTGGAATGTAGAAATATGTAAGATTTTTCTTCTTTTATTTAATAATATTTATTATATGATATTTGATACATACAAAAATATATGTACCGTATGTCATGAAGTAAAAGAATGGAGTGGCCGCCCGTGATTCTGCCATCCACCTTTAGAATGAGAATATTACCAGGGCTCTCATGTTCGCCTGGGACTCCTCTTGCCCATCCCTCTGTCCTGCCCGCCTTCCCCCACCCCCCCGCCCCGGCCCTGGAGGAAACCTGGGACTTGGATTTTGTGTTTATCACAGCCTCTGCAGTGACTCAGGTAGAACTTCTTGTGACCTCAGTCGGAGAGAGAGTAGGGGGAGAGGGAGGCTGAGACTAGGGTGTGCTTTGAAGGTTTACATCCCCATGGCTTGAAATTCACCCCTCTGGAGTCATCCTTTTAAGTTGATGCGCTTGTCTCCAGTAGGCCTAGTAAAGATGGAAAGTGTCTTCAGAGGGGAACGGAACATGTAAGTGTGCATGTGGAAGAGGGTCCGCTTTGAAGGGGGAGAAGGCGACAGGGACAGACGAAGGGGCTGCATGGTTGTGGCAGCATTGCGAAGCCCATCCCAGATCGAGGGGGCAGCAGGTTCTGGGGGAGGAGGTGCCACCTTGAAATGGCACCTCTGCCCCATCTGTTTGAATGTCACCAGAGTGGGAAGGAACTAGGCTGGGAGCTGTCCCCGTAT